CAAGTTCCTACTGCACGTTCGCTCTCTCGGATTGTGACGTCACGTCACAGAGAACGAGCAGGTAAAAATTAAAAAATATTGCGAAACTTCAAAACTTTATAACTTTCGTATTTCTGCAGCAATTTGGATGAAACAAAAACTATTGTTATTTTCATAAACATAGCTTTAAAGCTATATAGGTTTTATTGTCAAATTAGAACATGTTGATGTGACCCATTGTAATTAATTAATATCTTTTATGTAACTAGAGAACATCATAAAAATGTTATTAATACTCAATTACCTAACAGGGCACCCAGGTCTACTCAAAATTTTTTGTGTGAACGACCCGTCTGTGTGACCAATCCGTCTGTGTGACCGATCCGTCTGTGTGACCGATCCGTCTGTGTGACCGATCCGTCTGTGTGACCGATCCGTCTGTGTGACCGATCCGTCTGTGTGACCGATCCGTCTGTGTGACCGATTCGTCTGTGTGACCGATCCCTCTGTGTGACCAATCAATCTGGCTGACACCGGTCTCTGTGACCGACACCTGTCTCTGTGACTAGTAATTGTGACCAGTCTGTGTGACCAGTCTGTGTTACCAGTCTGTGTGACCAGACTGTGTGACCAATCTGTGTGACCAGTCTGTGTGACCAGTCTGTGTGACCAGTCTACGTGCCCAGTCTATGTGACCAGTCTGTATGACCAGTCTGAGTGACCAGACTGTGTGACCAGACTGTGTGACCAGCCTTTGTGACCAGCCTTTGTGACCAGTCTTTGTGACCAGTCTTTGTGACCAGTCATTGTGACCAGTCATTGTGACTAGTCTTTGTGACCAGTCTTTGTGACCAGTCTTTGTGACCAGTCTTTGTGACCAGTCATTGTGACCAGTCTTTGTGTGACCAGTCTGTGTGACCAGTCTGTGTGACCAGTCTGTGTGACCAGTCTGTGTGACCAGTCTGTGTGACCAGTCTGTGTGACCAGTCTGTGTGACCAGTCTGTGTGACCAGTCAGTGTGACCAGTCAGTGTGACCAGTCTGTGTGACCAGTCTGTGTGACCAGTATGTGTGACCAGTCTGTGTGACCAGTCTGTGTGACCAGTCTGTGTGACCAGTCTGTGTGACCAGTCTGTGTGACCAGTCTGTGTGACCAGTCTTTGTGACCAGTCTTTGTGATCAGTCTTTGTGACCTGTCTTTGTGACCAGTCCGTGTGACCAGTCTTTGTGACCAGTCTGTGTAACCAGTCTGTGTGACCAGTCTGTGTAACCAGTCTGTGTGACCAGCCTTTGTGACCAGTCTTTGTGACCAGTCTTTGTGACCAGTCTTTGTGACCAGTCTTTGTGACCTGTCTTTGCGACCAGTCTGTGTGACCAGTCTGTGTGACCAGTCTGTGTGACCAGTCTGTGTGACCAGTCTGTGTGACCAGTCTGTGTGACCAGTCTTTGTGACCAGTCTGTGTGACCAGTCTGTGTGACCAGTCTTTGTGACCAGTTTGTGTGACCAGTCTTTGTGACCAGTCTGTGTAACCAGTCTGTGTGACCAGTCTGTGTGACCAGTCTGTGTGACCAGCCTTTGTGACCAGTCTTTGTGACCAGTCTTTGTGACCAGTCTTTGTGATCAGTCTTTGTGACAAGTCTTTGTGATCAGTCTTTGTGACCTGTCTTTGTGACCAGTCTGTGTGTCCAGCCTTTGTGACCAGTTTGTGTGACCAGTCTTTGTGATCAGTCTTTGTGATCAGTCTTTGTGACCTGTCTTTGCGACCAGTCTGTGTGACCAGTCTGTGTGACCAGTCTGTGTGACCAGTCTGTGTGACCAGTCTGTGTGACCAGTCTTTGTGACCAGTCTTTGTGACCAGTCTTTGTGATCAGTCTTTGTGACCTGTCTTTGTGACCAGTCCGTGTGACCAGTCTGTGTGACCAGTTTGTGTGACCAGTCTTTGTGACCAGTCTGTGTAACCAGTCTGTGTGACCAGTCTGTGTGACCAGTCTGTGTGACCAGTCTGTGTGACCAGTCTTTGTGACCAGTCTTTGTGACCAGTCTTTGTGACCAGTCTTTGTGATCAGTCTTTGTGACCTGTCTTTGTGACCAGTCTGTGTGTCCAGCCTTTGTGACCAGTTTGTGTGACCAGTCTTTGTGATCAGTCTTTGTGATCAGTCTTTGTGACCTGTCTTTGCGACCAGTCTTTGCGACCAGTCTTTGTGACCAGTCTGTTTGACCAGTCTGTGTGACCAGTCTTTGTGTCCAAGTACTAAAGTTCCTTTCGTAACACACTTCAGTTACGTGAACAAAGCAAAAAAAAAATTAAAAAGACAACTGCTTAACTTCTCATATTTTAACTTTTATTGTTCATTTTCTTTTGAATTTTCCAGGCATTTCATGGAACCAAAACTAAGATGCTGTCTGATCGCCGTGGGACACGGCCGTCGCAGGATGGCCGAATGTTAGCAAATGTTGCCGCCCTCAGCCATAATTATAAACTTACTTAAACCTCTTATTATTAAACATTACTTGATAAAATAAATGCATAATTATTTGATTTATAGTATATATAATATTTAAGTTTGTAATTACATTATAAAATAAGATTCCGGATGTAATAAATAATGTAGGTAATTTTAAACTATTTCCGTTTGTGAATAATTGTAAACCGCATAATGCGGGTACAAAAACAAATGCAGAACTCCGACTGGAGTCATTGTAAGTTACGTTTTTGCCTTAAGCAGAAACTCTGTCAATTATATATTAGAGTAAAACAATATCAAAGTTTTATTTGAAAATCGACAACCACACTCTGTCACAATTAATTATTTAAATTGCACCCATGTAGTTAAGAAATAAAAAATAGTTAAAGATCGCTCACCTTATACCGTCGATATTACTTCAAATAATTAGAATCGGGTACTTTTTGCAATATAAAAAACTGCACCTTGCTTGAATATAATTGCACCATCATTAAAAATTGGGTGCATTCGATACTTAACAAAATTTTATGCATTTTTAACAATAGTGCAATTATATTCCACTCATATATACCCAATTTTACTTATTTCGAGTAATATCGACGTTATAAGGTGAGCGATCTTTAACTATTTTTTATTTCTAAACTATATGGGTGCAGTTTAGACAAGCTATTTTTTGAGTTATTATGGGTGCTATATACATATATATATAGTACCTATAATAACTCATTTCACCGTTGAGCCGAACCATTCGTGCTACAACTGTAATATAGCTGCAACATGGCTCTACAACGTTTACCCAACTGTTGTATATGTTAAATATTTCCACAATGAGGCAATCTATAGAGACTTTGATAGATAGGCTGTGAGGAATGTAAATTTGAAGACCATAATCTTAATGCCATAGTAATTATGACAGTAGCACCTTCACTTTTATTAATGGTGTCCAACGAGCACACATTCCGGTGGTAGGTAATGGTGAGGGAATTGTGTGGCCCTATACCACATGAGTAGATGACACTTGTATCTAATAACAAAAATAAACTTTATTGTGTACTAACTGTGCCCCGTGGTTTTACCCGCGTATATCACGCGTCTACGCCTTGCGACATGCGAACTTCGAGAGAGACATTACGACGGACGGTTTCTGAATTAACAAAGATTTAAAAAGTGAAATATGTTACTAAAATTAAATGGTTAACGTAATTGGTGGTTATGCATGGTACAGGTACTGATACGAATAATGTGGCCTAGTTTGTACCGACGTTACTATTTCATATTTTAACATGAGAAAGTAGTTCTTGTGACATAACTGTAATAGTTAAACATATGTTATCGCAGGCTTTTTTGTAGATATTGATATCCTCTATAAAATTGAAGCACATTACTTTGCTCTATTATCAATAGATTCCGCAGCGTACGCGATATAAGGATTCTTTTTGGTATTTTTTCACACCTTGGGTTACATTAATGAAGTTTTCATACGAATCCCTAACTTTTTTGAAAATATTATATAGCCTATGTTTATCAGGGATAATGTAGGATTCTAATGGTGAAAGAATTTTTCAAATCGGTCCAATAGTTTCGGAGCCTATTCGATTCAAACAAACAAACAAACAAATCTTTCCTCTTTATAATATTAAAATAATTAGTGTAGATTTTTTATTTATTTATTTATTTCAACTAACAACTATCATAACAGGAAGAAAACCTAACGCGACAGTGTAGTACTTATCATGCGTAACAAAAATGTGGTCATTAACTGTAACATATTGTAAACAATCCTACCCTAGTAAATTAACTCAAGGTGCAATAGAATAGGTCAATGCTTTCAGCCATTCTATTAAGAATGCGTAACGTTCGCGTTAAAGGCGCCTTATCGAGTAAATTGGTACGGGCTCGCGGTACAGACAGCAGCCGCGGCCGCCGCCGTTTCCATACGTACCCGTCTGGAACACACAGCCCAATTCGCCCCAATATGTCACTATTATATATTTTTCCTCTAAGTATTTTAAAAATATATAAGGCAAATGCTAGGTCTCGTCTTACCCTCAACTCGATGTAGCCAACCATACCCAGAATAAATAAAGTTGGGTACATTAATGGATACATAGGGTAGATTCCATAATAGCGCTTATATAAGTATCTTATAAATTTATTTTGCACTCGTTCCAGCATTGCACTATACCCATTTTCGTGCGGTATTTACTTTGCATTTGTTGGTATATTTTGTATTTTTTTTGAGATGCCTCTGTATTTTCGTAAAATTTAATTTTAATCTAGTCACACTCACACTGCTTGTTTTTTAAAGTTGTTATGGCCTAAAGGTCTAGATACCAGGCCATAAACTCCAAAAAAAAAAATTTGAGAACCGTTTGCGTATTTAGATTTCGTTTTTATTTTATAATTTTTATTCCACGGCTGGTAATCTTTGGGCAAAAATCTTTGACCGTATGAAATGCAGTGAGCAATTCAAAACATGACGTTTCCCTCGTCCCTCCCATCTCTTGCCCCTTCCCGCTACCGCCATTTTGTCATGTTATTGTCGCCACAGACCACAGAGTACTTTTATAATTGTCGCGTAGCTGTCAAGTTAGAAGTTTTCTTGGAAATTTTCATTTTGTTTTTCTATGAAGTATGAACTAATTATAAATAAAGTTTTATTGGCATTTTACTGCTATTTTACGAAAGGGTGTTTATTGTTTAATAGGTTATATATTTCGACGGGACGATTTCTTTAGCTTTAGTGTATTTTGTATAAAATTTTTAGTTTTAAAATGTATTTTTAAGTGTTTCATTCCCAATTGTGCAAGTAACAGAGAAGAGTCTGACGAAGGCCAAAGAAACAAGTGGTTGGACTTTATAAACTGTGACAAACTTAAAAGTATGCTGCATTCCAGTAACCTTTTCAAGAAGCCTGCTTGGTCACAAAATTTTTGAATAAAGGGTTTCATACTGCTAAATCTGACATTAATAAGGCTAAAAAAGGTTGGATAAACTCAACACTAATCTTTGGAGTAAATTGAGTTAGGTTTATCATCAAAGATGACAAAGGTATGTACATTTAATTATTCCTTAATAAACGTAACTGCTCAGTATATTCAGTATTCATATAAAGTTTAAAAAATTATAATAAAGATGTACGGGAGTACTGTACATTAAATAAAACTGCTTAATTCCTGGCATTTCAAGTGATCTCTTTGATAACAACTTAGTAATAATAATAAACTGGTTGCCAACTTGTCTGCCAAGTGTTACAACTATGGAAAATGTACACCTTATATGATAACCTATGAAGGCCTATGTTAGGCTACCAGTAGCTTTATGATAATCTGCAATGAATGAATGATGAATGAAACATAATAATAAATTCTTTTTATAATAATTTATTAAAATTTTAAGTTAATGGCTGAAGTAAATGAGGAATTCTATTATTTTAGAGATGTCCGTCTGAACGCGTAGTGTTTCTATATAGTTTGTGTTTTTATTCTTAATTTGGTTTCTTGATTAATCCAGTACCTATAGAATTTCTTGTAAAAATGAGTGAAAAAGAAATTAAAAGGCTAATAGCGGCAAGAGGACATTGCAAATCAATTATAATTTATAACGAAAACCGATAATTACTTGTGTTATCAGAAAAATCCGATTTTGAAATTTTAAAAGCTAAAAAATTCTCTCATCATCATTCCCTGATTATTCAGCTTAAAATATCAATATACACATTGAAGAAGTGCTTTGTGGCATTCCTTAGGGGATATATTAGCGTTCGAATCCCGCACGGAACAAGTATTTGTATGGCCTACAAATAATTGTTCCGGGTCTGGATGTTTGTACTTGTGCAATTTATGTTTGTAAACTGCCTCCACGATACAGGAAAAAATCCTAGTGTGGGGGTAACGTTTTTTAAAAAAAAAAAAAAAAGAAATATAGGCCATGTTCAGCAGTTGACTTGTGAAGGGCTGCAATGATGATGGTGATGATAAAATTATTACCTTTTTTAAAGGGAGAAGCTCTAGATGTCATAAGGCTTTTGCCTCTTGCTAGTGAAAATTATACAATTTCAATTAATTTGCTTTAACAATGATAGGACAAGAAATCACGAGTTATTACCCACAGGGTTAATCAAATCATAAATATTACTAACTTAATGTAGAGGAATATTAATATGCATACATTGTATATTGTAAAGAAAGCTTGATTATTATACTGTGTGTTTGTTTTACTTGTAAAGGACAACAGCTAACACTATGCCTGACTTGCAATCCTTTTTGAAATTTTTAGGATTTGTCTCTGGAAAAACTTACTCTAGCTCGCACTCTGCACATGAGATATAAAAGCTCATTGCTTACTTGCAGTATAATGTTGATAAAGCTAAGAAAATAAAATGTAAAACGTATTCTGACCATGTTCATGCTTGCCATAAATTTAAATTGGCCAATTCTAAAGATAGAATTTATCTCATAAAAAATAAGAAATTATGTACTGTTTTTTTTTATTAAGGATTCGAACCCATGGCCCCCAGCACAGCAACTCATTGCTAAGCCAACTGCGCCAAGGAGCTGTCAAATGAGCCGACTGTTTGTCTTAATGAACATCCTGAAAATGTAGGTTTAACTTTAAATGTGCTATTTGTAAGTCCAATCGTAACAAGTTGTTGCATGACTCTGGTCAGCATCTTAGTAGTAGTGAGTCTCCAAGCACATCATCATCAAAACTGATAGTGATTTGCCTTTATTTATTTTTTTAAACATATCCCACACTAGTATTTTTTCCTGTATCGTGGAGGCAGTTTACAAACATAAATTGCACAAGGATAAACATCCAGAACTGGAACAGTTGTTTGTAGGCCATTAAAAGAACTTGCTTGGTGTCTGAGTCGAGCCTGCTGCTTGTAGCGCTACAACTAATTGCTAGGCCAATGTGCTATATAGTCTTCTAGAGTTTGGTTATTGTAATATTCCCAATGAAGTTTTACTTCAACTGCTATTGTAAAATAAAAAATAAGAATTAGTCAGCTTTCATTTACCACTAAGGTTTAAATGTGGTAGAGCCATGCTGCAGCTATATTAGTAGTATAGTTGTAGCACAAATGGGTCGGCTCGACCGGGGAAGGACCACACTCTCACAGAATAGCAGCGTAAAATGGCAGCTTACACTGCTGTATTTCGTATGGTGAGTGTAGAGATCCGGAGACCCTTTATACTGGAAAAGAGGCATTCTATCTTAGTCCTTACAGGTGACAACGCATCTGCATTTTGATTCACAAACGAGGATAGATGTAGATGTCTATGGGCCACAGCAACCACTTACCATCAGGTGGACTGTGTGCTCATTTGTTACTTTATCCTATAAGAAAAAAGGTAGAATATGTAAAACGAATTATACTCAAACACCATTGTACAATAATAAAAATAACAATAAGATATTATACGTGGTAGAGCCATGTTGCAGCTATATTATAGTTGTAGCACGAATGGGTCGGCTCGACCGGGGAAGGACCACGCTCTCACAGAATACCAGCGTAAAATAGCAGCTTGACGCTGTTGTGTTTCGTATGGTGAGTGTAGAGAACCGGCGACCCTTTTTACTGGAAACGAGGCATTCCATCTTAGTCCTCACGGGTGACAACGCATCTGCATTTTGATTCGTAATCGAAGATAGATGTAGATGTCTATGGGCCACAGCAACCACTTACCATCAGGTGGACTGTGTGCTCGTTTGTCACCCTTATTGTATAAAAAAAAAAGAAAAAAAAAATTATTATTTGGGGCATCTATATAGTTTACTCATCTGGTTGGGCTGTATAAATATATAATTGTAAATGAAAATGATAAATATACATAAATATCAACAAAATAAAATAAATGCATAAAAAGTACATAAATAAATAAAAACCCAACCAGATGGAAGCCCTCGGCAGGGGAGACCAAACGGCCGAGGGTTAGGGGGAAAGGGAAAGAAACCGGCGGACGATGCGGGCGGTATCGAGGAGCACCGCCTTCTGCATTTGAGCTTGGAGCGGTCCGTCACGGAGTCCCAGTCGCCTCAGATGACCCGAGAGGCTGACTGGGATTAACCCGTTCGCAGAAACGACTACAGGTATAATTTCGGCCGGCAGTCCACCCCACATGTCGGTAACCTCGTGAGCCAGGTCCAGATATTTTGTTCGCTTATCTGTTTCGGCTTTCACGAGGTTCTCGTCATACGGAATGGTAATGTCGACCAAAAATATCCTTAACTGTGCCCGGTCCATCAGCACAATATCAGGCTTATTCGCAAGAATGCTCCTGTCTGTCATGGTGGGCCGGTCCCAGTAGAGCCTGGCGCGGTCATTTTCGAGCACGGCTTCCGGCATGTACTTATAATAAGGCAGTTTCCGATCCACGAGACCGTATTTCAGAGCGAGCTCCTGGTGTAGAATCCTGGCTACTAGGTTGTGCCTATACAAGTACTCAGAGTTAGAAAGCGCCGAACAACCGGAGATGACATGCCTAAGTGATTCACCGGGATGGCGACAAGCTCGACAAATGTCGACGGTGCCATCCCTTAGGATGTATCTCCGATAGTTGTTGGTCTTAATAACCTGATCCTGTATTGCACAGACAAAACCCTCGGTTTCCCCGAAGAGGTCACCAAAACGTATCCAGTGGAGGGAGGCAACTGTATCTAGGAAACGCTCATGTAGAGCCTTGTAGAACCTCCCGTGGAGCTCCTTCTCCTTCCATACGGTCTCCCGGTCGGAAATGCTCTGTACTGCCGGGTCTTGCCATTGCTCGTTGGTTAAGGATAGAGGGGTAAGTCCTTTATTACAAAAAATAACGTCCCTATAGAATGGATCATCCGCTCTCGCCAGAAAATAATTACGGAGGCTGCACACTTCGCGATTATGCAGGGTAACCGCGCTTAAAAAGCCGCGCCCACCATGCTTCCGTGGCAAGTACAGCCTCATTACCGACGATCTCGGATGATGCACTCTGTGGGACGTCATTATAGTGCGGACTTTTCTGTCCAGAGCGTTCAGTTCGGTCTGAGTCCACCTGAGTATGCCAAAGGTATACATGAGAACAGGCATGATCCAACCGTTATAAGCGTGTGTCTTATTAACGCCCGACAAAAGACTGTTAAGCATTTTTGTCAAGCGTGCATAAAACACATCGCAAACTGACTGCTTCATACCCGCCTCATCGACACCGATGTTCTGTGACATACCCAGGTATCGGTATGTTTCAGCCTCGGAAAGGGTCCTTATGCTGATGGGCATAGATAAGTCCATGCCCTCAGAGTTAGCAACCCTTCCCCTTTCGACATGGAGGATCGCACACTTATCCGTCCCCAGCTCCATTCCAATAGAATTGCTAAAATCACAAGTGATGTTTAGCAATTCCACAAGATGGAAGCGACTGGAGGCGAATAACTTGAGATCATCCATATAGAAATGGCGGGTCACTTTTGTACCTCCTTTCCGAAGCTGAAATCCCCTCCCGGAACCCTCCAGTAAGGTACTGAGAGGGTTCAGAGAGGACCAGATTGGACTCAAACAATCGCCCTGGAAGATACCCCTTCTTATCCTTATGTGGTTCTCCGCAGCCGTCATCTGCTGGCCTAGATGACAAAGGATCGTACTCCACTGCCCCATACACTGCCCAAGGAAGTCTCGAACCGTACAGCCAACCTTGTACAGCTCGAGGACCCTCTTAAGCCATGTATGAGGCACCGAGTCGAATGCCTTTTTGTAGTCTATCCAGGCGGCGGAGAGGTTCCGACGGTTGCGTTTAACTACCTTGCCAATGACCGCGTCAATGAGGAGTGGTTCCTTGGTTTCACGACCACCGCCCCGAAATGCATTTTGAGCGCGCGCCATCACCTGATTTGAGTTCAGGTGACGAGTGATTCTCGCGCTCAAAATGGTTGTTAGTGTCTTGTATATGATAGGTAGACACGTTATGGTGCGGTACTTGCTCGGGTCTGTGGAATCCCGGTCTTTAGGAACCAAATGAGTGATCCCAGTAGTGAAGAGGCTCGGGAGCGACTTTTGGTCGAGAGCCTCTTGAAACTGTCGGGCGAGCACAGCGTGACACACCACGAACCCCTTCAGCCAGTAGTTTTCCGCCCGGACTTTTCCAGTTCGGGGCCCTACGGACCGCCTCAGCTACGTCATCCGGCGTTATGATGACGGGGTCCATGGGCGTAATATTCGCACACTGACTCGCCACAACTTCCGTCCAAGGGCCCTCGCTGTGGTTTACGGGCTTTGACCACAGGCCGCGCCAGAATGCGATAGTGTCGGCCTGTTTCGATGCTGGGCCCGTTCCACGTACCATTGGTCGCTCCAATGATTCATGGAGCCTCTTCTGATCACTCTGGAAGAGACGATTCTGGTTGAACCGTGTCGACCTCTCGGTATATCGCCGAATCCTTTCGAATCCGAATCGTTCTTGGGTGACTATTCCATCATCGTCTGAATCAACTACAACTGGAAAATCCGCAGCGGCATCGACGTGTGCAGATTGTTCTGCAATTTGTGGCGTCGCATTACCAGCTGTAGCATTTTCATCCGATGAGGGAACAGCCTCACGTCGTAGTCGTTCGAGTTCGGCGTCACCAAATATGTTGGAGCGCAGGATATACCGAACTCGGTCTGCCAGGTTTTGCTCTGATACATGAACACATGGCTCCAGCTCCGCGAAAAAGCGATGCATCCGAGCCCGATACGCCAACATTCCAGTTTCTTCCCCTTTTGCCCTAAAATACGCTCGCAATGCGTTTGCGTTCATCATTTTTGTCCAACGCATGCGACGTGTTCCACCAGTGGCGGGTGCCGCTTGCTGAGTCCGAGAAGAACCAGCCGACACCAAGCCCTCTGGTGGGGATGATGGATGCGGGCGGCTACTAGGTGTTCTTGCAGCCCCCCGCGCTTGGCTGGCGACCCGCATGCTGTCGCGTCCAGCGCCAGCTCCAGACGCGCCTTGGCGACCTCCAGGCAGCGGCCCTTTGCGCACTCTTTTATTGTCCATCATCCATTGTATGGGCGTCAATTAACGGGGGACGCCCAGGCCCGGCACCGTTTCATGGTGCGGCCATAAGCACAGACGGACCTTTGCACCCTCAATTCTGCCGAGGCACGGCGCACACACCTCTTGGCAAGGCGCTGACTGACTGCGCTGACGTAGCAGTTTTGTCACTTAACTGTTACGTCAGCGATTTTATTATTAGTATTATTTAATTGTTCACATTTGGTTGATCAAATCATTGTCATAGAGGTAATGAAAATTATACTGTGAGGGGAATATACAGTGCTATTAATAAAATAAAAGACACAGTTTATTGTCCATTTCTGTATTAATAATTTTATATTTAAGGTTGATTGTTGCATTGATAAATAACAGCTAATATGCCACAGTTTATTATTAATAAAGAAAATTTAAGTTTGCCTTAGAATATTCAATTAGCCGATAAACAGTTTTACAAAATCCAATCTTCATAGTTGCAATATATTCTTTCAGGTGCTGCTTCGTCATTCAAGATTACTTAGCTGCAAAACACGAGATCCATTCTTAGTTCACACAAAATTTGGTTACATTGCAGCAGGGAGTGTCCTTGCAGAACCTACTTACAATACAATCAGCTGTTTGTCTGTAACCAATGGCATGAGGTTGGTCAGTTAGATTGAATTACTTCTTTAGAACAAGATGACATAAATAATAATTTAAGGCAATTTTGGGAGTCTGCGAAGTTACCTGAAATCAACACAGAATGTCTGTCAAAACAACCTTGCTGAAACATTTTTAGAATATCAGTTGTCTTGGAATCAAATTGATATTGAGTTGGCTTAACCTTAAAAAAACTCATAACTGCATTTCATCTTGGCCTTTTTCTCCTATATTACAGGGATTTTATAACCTATAAAAAAGATTATAACCAAATGGTGTACTTTATCAGAAATATAAAGAATTTATTAAAGATCATATTGACCTGGGACTTGCAGAACCCTATGATATTCTAAATATTTAGAATGGTGTCTTGGAAGACAACCAATGTCAAATTGAGCAAATTTTTCAGGAAGTAAATAAAACTATAAAATGGTAATATTGGAATAGTAACTAATTTTGATATTTTATATACAAAAAGTACATTAAAATAAATAATAGTATAAACAATAAGTATTTATTAATTTTGTAAAAGTAAAAATAACCTAACCTAACCCAACTAGGTTTTGCCAATGCTTCTTCAGGGCTTATGGTTGTTGCTTATATGAAGAGTTGTTCATAGTGATTCTACTGTATTAATAAACTTATTGTGTTTAAAATCTTGGATATGTTCTATCAATAAAGAGCTAAGCACACCCTGACTTGAGTTATATAATGCTTTGTTATTAATTGTTGATATCAAAAAACTAGTAACAATACTTTTAAGAGACTAGCCCGAGAATTCTATCACAAGAATTTTTTTTTTATAGGATAAGGGTGACAAACGAGCACACTGTCCACCTGATGGTAAGTGGTTACTGTGGCCCATAGACATCTAAATCTATCCTCGACTTACGAATCAAAATGCAGATGTGTTGCCACCCGTGAGGACTAAGATGCAATGCCTCGTTTCCAGTAAACAGGGTCTCTGGTTCTCTACACTCACCGTACGAAACACAGCAGCCTTATGCTGCTATTTTACGCTGGTATTCTGTGAGTGTGGTCCTTCCCCGGTCGAGCCGACCCATTCGTGCTACAGTTATATTACTAATATAGCTGTAGTATGGCTCTACCATGTATAAAAGAATAATACCACCTTATTTATCTGACTTGTTTTTCTCTCACATTCACATTATTAGTTATATTTTGTATAAAATTATGTATCCTGTTATTTTATTTTTGTATTATATTGGAATGTAGTTCCTTATCGCACTGTAGGAATTTGACGGATGGGGACTAGGGGAGAAAAGGTGTAAGATTTTTCCGTCACAACCTCTTTTCTATGGTGCGAGCGAGATGGAAGAATATCTATCTTCCTCGAATTTATACTTATCTTGCCATGAAAGAAATATTATTTTAAATAAGACTTCATTTTAATAGAGGCTAGTAATTATTTTTTTTTGTATTTCTTAATCAATAATATAATACGTTTATCAATAATGATATACTACGAAAGGAACTTCTATCCAGCCAAGTGTTCCACGACACACACATTTTTTTTTTATTTATTTAAAGATTTTGTATATAAGAACCCGTTTAGACATTTATTATTGATTCTTTATTATATAGTAGATATTAAGTATGTATATTTTTACTAAATATATTCTATTAGCACTAAGCACTAAGCACTATGCTCAATGACCTCAATAGTGTTTCCCAACGGATAGGTCTTAAGATGAACATGGACAAAACAAAGATCATGTTTAATGTCCATGTCACACCTATGCCGGTAGTTGTTGGGAACACTAAGCTCGAAGTTGTTGACGAGTATGTTTACCTGGGACAAATAGTCCGACTAGGTAAGTCCAACTTCGACCGAGAGGTCAATCGACGGATTCAACTCGGTTGGGCAGCGTTCGGGAAATTACGGCACATCTTCTCGTCAGGTATACCTCAAAACTTGAAAACGAGACTGTACACCCAGTGCGTGTTGCCAGTGATGACATACGGAACTGAGACGCGGTCCTTCACTGCTGGCCGGATGAGGAAGCTCAAGGTCGCTCAGCGAGCTATGGAGAGGGCTATGCTCGGAGTTTCTCTGCGTGATAAACTCAGAAATGAGGATATCCGCAGTAGAACCAGAGTGACCGACATAGCCCAACGGATTAGTAAGCTGAAGTGGCAATGGGCCGGCCATATAGCTCGAAGAACCGACAACCGATGGGGAAGAAAGGTTCTCGAGTGGCAGCCTCGTACCGGCAGGCGAAGTGTAGGGCGTCCCCCCACTAGATGGAGTGACGACCTGGTAAGATATGCAGGAAGTCGATGGATGCAGTTGGCTCAGGACCGTGCTTTGTGGCATTCTTTGGGGGAGGCCTATGTTCAGCAGTGGACTTGAGAAGGGCTGTAATGAATGAATGAATATTCTATTAACATGCATTTTGTTGTACCTCATGTCTTTATTACTTATTTGTTAAATTTATGAAGTGGTTGTTTACACCTGCCACAGTTTCTCAAATCATCCAGGGTTGACTGGTAGGGAATATCATAAGGCATTAAGTCCGCCCTTTGTATCCCTTATTATAAAGTGTGTAATAAAGATTAAATAAATAAATAACTGTAGTGGCAAAACACCTTCATAATCTTTTTATGTTAAAAAATTGATATCAATGTGTACATAATATATTTAGATTCAAGAGTTGTATAAGCGTTGCTTGGCATAGAACCAATGTACCTTTCGTAAATTAACTATCAGCAACCTAGCCAGCCAGTCATCCTGAGTGTGATTTTTCTCATATAGTTATTATGTATATTTTCTTTTAGTTTCTTACAATATATATTTAGTTGGGTTAGATTATGATAATTGTTAAATTCAGTTGTAAATTTAATTAAATAACTAATTATTAGTCTGCTTAAATCATTTTTCAAACAGTTTAAATTGATAAGGTTTTACAGGCTTTTACCGAAATTACTAGTATTTCTTTTTTTTTTGTTTGTTTTCGTTTTTGGTTTGTTTCTGTTATTAACTCACTTTCAGATTTATACAGTAATACTAGCAAGTAATATAAACACTTTAAGAAATATATGTAACATATGTATTGTAATATCGCTGGTAGACCCAATAAATAAAAAAAAAAAATTAAATAAACTCCGGTTATATTTGGCAATAAGAATTAAGGAGTTTATTGGTTTTATGTCAAGACAACCAATCAATAATCCTGTAGACTGTATATCTCGAGGAATTTAGTCTCGCCTTTCCCAAGGTTATAGTGAAGGAGAGTTTTTTTATCATCCAAAATTGTAATTTTTTTTAACTCTTGGCCCCGGATACGTACACTTTTAGTTATTCGAGTACGGTACATATAGCGCAAGGATGGTTTTTGTTATCTAGCAACATTTGTATTTCTGTAACCACCTTCCTTCTTTTTTGTATAACTTGAACGTTGAACGTGCTAATGGTGACTTCAGTTATTGTGGGGCATTAATAATTGTACAGTGTGCAATAAGTGCATTATTAAATACAGCTTATTCAATTTACTTGTTTGTGTGTCCTTTGGACCAGGCACCTAATAATAGGTAATGTAAAGTTTCTGTTTCCCTTACAAACCATTACAAGAAATGTAATCACTAATCAGTACTAATATAAATAATAAATAAACAAATTCAGTATTTACAATCCAACCAACTTAATAAGAGTGAAAAACAAATTACTCAAAATTGGTTTGTTTAATGCTGGGTCGCTGGGTACACGCCAAGACGAATTTATAGCTGCTCTAGAGGACTCCCAGGTTGACATCATGGCAATAAATGAAACATGGCTGAGGGAGGGTGAGGAAGGGCGCGCTCCGGTTGTGCCCGGGTACCGGCTGCGGCACGCGCCGCGGCCGACGCCGTGCGTGGCGGCCGCGGAGGTGGCGTTGGCTTTTACATACGCTCGGGGATAGCAGTGCGTACTTGCTCGCATCCTTCCTCCACCAACGTCGAGCAAATGTGGCTTTCTCTTACGATCAACACGCAGAAAATTATGATTGGTACAGCTTATCGTCCCCCTTGGCTCGATGTAAATATTTTCCTGGATGCTCTCACTTCATCTATCGTTTCATTCGCAAGAGCAGACAAAATCATCCTTGTAGGCGATTTCAATATAAACTTGTTTAAAACAGATGACTCTAAAGCTACACATTATACAGACCACAGCGAAACTCTCATTGACTTGGTATGCTCCAACATTGGTGTTTGTAATACTACAGTGTCACATATACCACAATTAGGGCAACATGCATTAATAACCGTACAATTTACAATTAAAAAGGATAAGGTTATAGCCCGTAAGGCTTACATTCGTCCACTTAAGCATATTTTGGTAGACCATTTTAATGCAGATTTAAACAGTATTGATTGGGATAGAATTTATATCTCAACGATATTAATGATATGGTAGCAATATTTAATTCATTTATAATAACGCTTTTTGACCTTCATGCCCCGATTAAATTAGTACAATTGAAAAAACAATGTCGCCCATGAATTACTGATACAGTTAAAATTATGATGAGGTATCGAAACAATTATCTCATGCGATATAAGAAAACTAAACTAGATAAATATTATAATTCCTATAAAGATTTAAAAAACCTTGTGACTAATGCTATTCATTTTGAAAAGAAAGCATATTTTGAAATGTCTATAAATAAAAACTTAAGTAAACCTAAAGCTCTATGGAGAAGTATAAAATCTAATATTATTACTAAGGAACAGGCTGAGATAATTTTACCAGATCATTGTAATAAGCCTGATATAATAAATAAACATTTTTTCAACGTGGTAGAGCCATGCTACAGCTATATTATGGTTGTAGCACAAATAGGTCGGCTCGACCGGGGAAGGACCACGCTCTCACAGAATACCAGCGTAAAATAGCAGCTTAATGCTGCTGTGTTTCGTATGGTGAGTGTAGAGAACCGGAGACCCTTTTTACTGGAAAAGAGGCATTCCGTCTTAGTCCTCACGGGTGACAACGCATCTGCATTTTGACTCTTTATTGAGGATAGATGTAGATGTTTATGGGCTACAGCAACCACTTACTATCAGATGGACTGTGTGCTCGTTTGTCACTATCCTATAAAAAAAAAATATTTATTTATTTATTTATTTATTTTTATTTATTTTATTTTCAAGGGAAACATACATAATTTTAGTCTAATACATAACACATATTAATCTTACAATTAACAATAAAGTTTCCACAGTTAAGTAACTCATCGACAACAAGCAAACATCATAACATACTTTGGTGTGTAGAACCAAAATTAAGTTAAGTTATGGCAAAATATAATATTAATGTGAAATATCAATTTTACCCATTACAGTTTCAATTTCCTTTTTAAACTGTCCATATGACAGAGAAAATACATCAACATCTGAAAAAATGTTATTATAAGAATTACATGCACGAGTTATAAAACTGTTCTTGCCATATTTAGTGCGCATTATAGAAGTACAAAATAAAAGTTTCTTTCTAGCACTTATCCTTTGGCATCTAAAATTTATTTCACTTAGAAGTGGTATGGAGTCGACCCTATTATGAATGATTTTATATAAAAACATCTGATCCCTGACAGTACGACGAGATTTTAGGTCAGAGGCCAATCTACACAAAATAGAGGCATCACCGGCTGATCTAAATTGTATATGCTTCAGAAATTTATTGTGAATTCTTTCAATTGACTCTATATAAATATTATATTGAGGATTCCAAACTGTTGAGCAGTATTCTAATATTGAGCGGACCAATGAGTTATACAAAATAATTAGAGTTGAGGGTTTTTTAAAGTCTTTAGTAATTCGTAAGACAAATCCAAGCATCTTATAGGACTTGTTAACGATTCTATCAATATGAGATTTAAATATTAATTTTTGATCCAAATATACGCCCAGGTCTCGCAACTCGGTTACTCGATCTATCGATTCATTATTTATTTTATAATTAAATTTTATAGTTTTGTTTTTCCTGCTGAATGTAATAACATTACATTTTTTTATATTTAAGAATAATAGATTATTTGAACAATATGAGTATAATCTATTAATATCTTCTTGTAGTAGCTCACAGTCATGTTCGTTTTGAATAACTTTAAAAATTTTCTTATCATCAGCAAATAGAAGTATGTTAGAATGTTGGAATTGCAAAAGAACGTCATTTATATAAATATTGAACAAAAGAGGACCGAGATGCGAGCCCTGGGGAACACCCGAAGATATTGGTAAAAACGAAGAACAGTACCCCTTAACTGCTACCGCTTGAGTACGATTACGCAAGTAAGATGCTAGCCAGCGCAGGAGGTCACCGTGCACACCGATTTGGTCTAGTTTTTTGATAAGGATTTCATGACATATTTTATCAAAAGCTTTGGAATAATCGGTGTACACGGCATCCACCTGTAGCCCTGCATCCATTGCTTTGTGAACAATATTAAGATATTCGCATAAATTACTCTCTGTAGATTTCCTAGTCATGAAACCATGCTGCTGGGTCAACAAGGCGGGTCTGATGGTAGGGTATATAGCATCATACACTATTTTCTCAAAAAGCTTGGGGATAGTATTAAGTTTGGATATCGGACGATAATTTTCTATATCTTGTTTATTACCGGACTTAAATACAGGTGTAACAAAGGACTGTTTCCAGGCATATGGCATCACTCCCGTTTTCAATGAAAGATTAAACAATCTAAAAAGCGGCTCGGATAATTGCTTGTAGCAGTTCTTCAATAAAATTGGAGGAAGCCCGTCAGGACCAGCGCCTTTATTAGTATTAATGTTTTTGAGGTACGATTCAATTTTTGCTTTATCTATAAAAATGTGGTTGAGATTAATCAGGTTATTTCCTTGGTTGACATCGATATGATCATGATCAGATTGACTATGAGATTCAAATACCGAGTTAAAATACTGATTAAACAAACCACATATGTTCTCGCCGCTAGATGACCTAACATCTCCAATAAACATTGAGTCAGGTAAATCATTCATATTTTTCCTTTTTGATTTAACATATGCCCAAAAGTGTTTACTATTGTGAGAGATCTTTGATTCAGCATCAGATATAAAATTATTAAAACACTCCTCCTGCAACACTTTCTGCCTTTCTCTAAGTAGTCTAAATGTATTATAATCAGTTAAACGGCCATATATTTTCCACTTCCGATGATATTTTAATTTTTCATTAATTGTTTTTATTAGTACTCGATTAAACCATATAGGGTATTTATTTTTAGTATGAATGACTTTGACTGGAACAAACTTAATTATAATATCATTAATTATATTATAAAAAGTTTTAATATTATCATTAATATCGTTCGAAGTGAAACATTCATTCCAATCTATGTTAGAAAGAGCATGATTTATGCTATCATAATTGGCTGACTTAAACAACGTAACGGACTTGATGGTTTGGCTGAGTGACTTCTGCTTACAAATCCAGACATCACAACAAAAAGCTGGGTGATGTTTATCCTCAGGTACAAGAGGCTCAGAAGCTGATACACTACAATCCACGTTTGCAATAACTAAATCAAGCACTCGGTTATTACCATTGTAAATTAAATTAAATTGTTTAAAATCATTAATGGAAATAAAATTAGATAAATCATTTACGTAGTCGACATTAAAATTTCCAGAAAGGATGGAAAATGAAACATTTTTAACAGGCAACCACTCAGCACAAGGGATATTAAAGTCACCAAAAATAACATAATATTCGCCCTGATATTGGATTGCCTTTTTAGTTATATATTCATAAAAGTTACTTAAAACTTCTTTTTGAACATTGCAATGCGGAAAATAGCACGAGTATAAGTTATAAATGTTTTTTGAGATTCCATTGAGCGATATAGCGACTGATATAATTTCAGCTGCCGAATTTGCAACAGGAACAGTTATACAATTACGTACATTAAATTTTCGATGTACAGCTATTAAAACCCCACCCCCCATCTTATCGCCCCTGATTGCATGGTTTCGATCGCATCTATATACATTATATCGAGAGTCAAACAATTCCAAATCATATATACTAGGTAGTAGCCATGTTTCGGTAATACAAATTACGTCATATTCATTTACAACAATATTCTTATAGAACATGTTAGTTTTAGTACGCAACCCTCTGACGTTTTGGTAATAAATTCGCAATTTATTATCTATCTCTAAACACTATAATATGATAATTCAGATACATAACTCCAATAATAATATAATAATGCCGTATACTATCATTATATAACTTTAAATTGTTAAGGTTACAAAAGGAATCAATAGAAGCGATACCACTACTGTAAAGAACAACAAAGCCCGCCAATACGCAAAAACGAAAACAAAGTATCAATGAACGTTGACTCCATCCCAAACAAGGATAAGAATATGCAAGTCTTTGTATTTTTTTATTATACTGAGAATAAAAATAAATAATAGTTCCTATTTTATTTTGAATAAATCATTTGTCGAGTTAATATGTAGCACAGGACTACTGTTACTTTGACGCACCATGATAGTACAGTTTTTTACCCACACAAATTTGTAATTGCAGTCTTTAGCTTTAGCTTTTGCCTTTTGAAGCAGTAGTTTATTAGATGTAGTTAAATGATCGTTGAAGAAGACATAAGAGTTGTTACCTGAAAACCCGATGTCGCTAGCTTTCAAATTTTTCAGCTGACGCACCTTGCACAGAAACTCATCCTTATAATAACGAGACATGAAACGCACAAATATACGTTTGGGCTTTTTATTATCTTTTGATAAGGATGCAACACGGGTTACGAAATCCATATCAGTGGGAGCGTTAAATGATATATCAGCTTTTTTTGCCAAGTTTTCTATAATTGTAATCAAGTTCTCATTTTTCTTTTCAGGAACTCCACAAATTTCAATATTTGAACGTCTGGCCCACTGATCTCTTGTATTATTCTCACTCTCCAGCTTATTAAATGTAGTCTTCAGTTGGGTCATATCAGCCGATATAACATCCATGGATTTTAAAGATTTTTCTTGGTTGACCAACTGTGTCTTGATTTCATCATATTTATTGTTTATAAACGAGACTGATTTCTTGACTTCCTCCATTTCATCTTCTATTTTCTTAAATTTCGCATTTAATAGGTGCTCAAAGCTGGCTTCCAAACCTTTCTGTAATTCTGTAATTTCCCGTCTAATTTCCTGCCTAATTATTTCACGCAATTCAAGCGAAGAAACTGTAATTTGACTAACTGTATCACTGGCTTGAACCTTTGATGAAGGTTCTGAAACCGTTTTTTTCTTTTTGAGACGTTGGGTAACGTTATTATTTACCACTGCCTGCGATGCTCCCAATCGTATGGGAGTATTGTCACCTTTAATCGCCTTTGGCTTTTTGGCTGTACAAGTGGGACAGGTCCAGTTGTTTGTATCGATAGTTGAAAAATCGTAGCTGTTTGCCGGGTCCATACAACTGTGATGAAACGCTCCACCACAATGGGTGCATAATATAGTTGATTCATCGTCCATCGATCCCTCGCAGCAGGAGTACATTGTTATACAAAATCAATACTAAAATCTTGCAAAAAGCACAAACTTTCAGTGAATAACCTTTACTAAATAACTTTCATACGTCGTAGTCTCTCAGCGACAACTCGTATATATGCACATATCCGATTAATAATCTTTAATAATCTTTGCCGGATAGCACTGCGCATGCGCGATGACGTACGGTCGGCGTGCGGTCAATGGGCGCACGAGAATATGATCACTGTGCGTTGCGCTTAGCACTGTTTATTACCTGATGTACTGCTTTGCCCGACGAACCAACCGTTATGGCGGCCGACTGATTTTTGCACAGTAATTGAACTGTTCGGGTCGTTAAATCACTGTATTTACTTTGGTTACGTTTGATTTCACAACATAGGTACACTGAACTGACACTCGTTTGTATCGTAATACGGGTTTTATCTAGAATTGTACGATAAGTATACACTTTTCAATAATAAACCGGGAGCTCGCTTGTTAACATTGTTTGCCCTTTGACGAGGCGGCAATAGTTTTTGATTCCCGGTAATGATAACATAGACCTTTCACAACTAACTTTCTAAGAGTTTAACAGATATGGACCAAGTATTTTCCATCTTACTACTACAAATTAGGAGCAAGTAGCTAAAATTATTCAAAATTTGAAATCTAACGCCCAAGGTGTGGATCAGATAACACTTGATATGTTGCCTATGACACTGCCACATACTTTGAAAGCTATTACTGCTATTGTGAATAAATCTATTACCACCTCCACCTTCCCCAATCAATGGAAAACAGCTGTGGTAAAGCCTATCCCAAAGAAAAAACAAGCTACCTGTTTAAAAGGTTTACGCCCTATAAGCATATTGCCTTGTTTGTCTAAGGTACTAGAGAAAGTGGTCTGTACGCAGTTAACTGAATACTTAGAGCAACATAAAATCTTACCACGGGCACAGTCGGGTTTTCGTAAAGATCATAGCACCACAACAGCGATTATTGATGTTGTCGACAACATACTAACAGCCCAGGATAAGGGAATGGGCACAATACTTACTCGTTTAGATTTCTCACGAGCATTTGATTCTATAAATTGTACTCTTCTACTGTCCAAGTTATCTTTTTATGGATTTGATCGTTCCACAGTTAAATGGTTTCATAGTTACTTAACAGATAGATGCAATACGTTAATATAACAAACCATGATGACACAACACTTATGTCTGATCCATAGGTAGTTTCTCGCGGTGTCCCACAGGGGTCTATCCTAGGTCCTATTTTATTTATTTTATATAGTTCAGACATCATTAACTGTATAAAAGAATGCGAGTATCATTTATACACAGATGACTTACAAATATATAAATCTTTTTACCCTCGAGATTGTGAATCTGCTGTCAAATCATTGAATGAAGATCTGAAACGTATTTTGTTATGGTCCAAGCAAAATTCTCTTGTGCTAAATCCACAAAAATCAAATTTTTTAATACTAGGAACAAATAAAAATATTCAAAATATATCACTGTTTCAGCCAGTAATTCTAATTGACAATGAACCTATACAGCAAATCTCAGAAGCACGAAATTTAGGTGTAATATTTGATTGTTGTTTGCGCTTTGAAAGTCATGTACCTGAGGGAGTGCGCAGTTCTTTTTATCGTTTAAAGTTACTGTACCAAGTTCGGCAGTACCTCAGTGTAGATATGCGGATACGATTGTGTGAATCATTAATACTGTCCAAATTAAACTATGCAGATGCAGCCTATGGACCACGACTGTTGAGAAGAACAGAGAAGCTTATACAGCGGGTGCAAAATGCGTGTACTCGGTTTTGTTTTCCTGTCCCGCCTCGAAGTCATGTAACGCCTTATTTAAACGACGCCAATCTTGAAAATTACATCTTGCTACTCTATTGTTCTCGACAATTATAAAGCAGAGACCGGTATATCTTTTCCAAAAGTTGAAATGGGCCCGAGACCAAAATAAATATTATACAAGAGCTTCCGTTCACTCGCTTGTAACAACTCGACACCGTACTGCTGCATTTCGAGGCAGCTTCAAATTTGCAGCAACACACTGTTGGAATGATTTACCACCACATATTCGTTCCCTAAAAACATTAAGTAGTTTTAAAAACAAATTAAAGTTGCATTATTTGGTACAACAAGTACCAAAATACGTCATAACTGTCTCGAACGTAGGAACCTACGATGATAATAATATTTATATTTGTTCTACACTTTTCATGTCCGAAAATTATTGATTATTAATGTGTTTCTATTATTTGATGAATGATTATTTATTAGTTTCAATCTTATTTTTTTTTCATTTTTTTTGCTCTAAAAATCCAGCAGGTCTCGTAACATGGCGTCATTCATTCATTCATTCATTCATAACATAACATAAACACTCACGCCTGTCACCCAGAGGGGTAGGCAGAGATTATGGACTTCCATTTGGCACGATCCTGACACACCTCTCTCGCTTCCTCCACATCCATATACCTACGCATACACGCTCGTCGGTTAAAGGTACTCTTGATTTGGCCCATTTTGAATATATCGCCAATTTGGTCGATAAACTTTCGCCTAGGACGACCCTTCCCGACTATGCCGTTCACCTCTGCAACATAAATTTGCTTTGTCACTCTTTCCTCATTCATTCTTTCTACATGGCCAAACCACCGAAGCATTCCTTTCTTAATTCTGGTCACAACATCATCTTGCAAACCACACTCTTCTCTTATTAAACAATTTCTCACTCTGTCATTCAGATTCATCCCTAACATGCTCCTTAATGACCGCATTTCTACAGCATTTATTCTACTCTCGTGCTTCTTCTGCCACACCCAACTTTCACTACCATACATTAAAGTAGGTACTAACACAGCATTGTGAATTGCCATACGTGCCTTTTTGGACACATTCTGACTTTTCACAACAGAGCCCCATTCACTCTATTTCCTGCATTCACTCGTCGTTCTATATCCTTATCATATCTACCATCCCTGCTAAACACACATCCCAAATATACAAACTCATCTACTTGCTCTACCAACTCCCCTTCTATTCTTATTCACATATCGTTTTACTTTCTTCTCTTTCAAAAACCATAACTTTCGTCTTACTTGCGTTCACTTTCATTCCCTTTTCTTTTAATGTCCTGTTCATTAATGTAACCATCATTTGCAACTCGGCTGCCGACAACGCAAGTATGACTTGATCTTCGGCGTACAAAAGGCATTTGACGGTTAACTCACCGATTCTTAACCCGCATTCTTCTACTTTTAAATTTTCCAAACAACTGTCCATAAATAGGTTGAACAACCACGGGGAAGCCACACAGCCCTATCTGACACCTTTATGGATGCCAAACCAGTCCGAGTAGGCCCCGTTGATCCTGACACAAGCACTAGAGTCCCTATATAGAGACTTCAATGCCTGTATCAGACCAGCGCTCAACCCAAATGAGTGTTTGCCATAACACATCCCTGTCCACTCTGTCATAAGCCTTCTCCAAGTCCATGAACGCACAAAAAACTTTTTGATTTTTGGCCAAAAACTTCTCCGCGATCATGCGCATGGAAAAAACCTGATCCGTACATCCCATTACTTTCTAAATCCCGCTTGCACATCCCAAATTTTTCCATCAGTTTCTTTCATAACTCTTTCAATTAATACCTTAGCATACAGTTTTCCCACAATGCTAAGAAGGCTGATACCACAGTACTTTTTACAGTCCTGCTGTGAACTTTTCCCCTTATATATTGGGACTATCACGGCTTTGCACCAGTCTCCCGGTACCCGCTTAAGTTCCCAACATAAATTAAACAAGGTGTACAGCAGGTCTGCCACCACTCCTTCTCCAGCCCTTAGCATTTCGAGAGATACTCTATCATAACCGGCTGGCTTACCTGCTTTCATACTTTTCATTGCTTTCATTATTTCATCTATACTTATGTCCTATTTACTGGAAATGAGGCATTGCATCCTAGTCCTCAGGGGTGCAAAGCATCGGCATTTTTATTATAATAGAGGATAGATGTAGATGTCTATGGGCCACAGTATCCACTTAGTCACTTCTGAACACACTGTATTCTCAGTTTGGCGAACTTAATGTTTTTTGAACCAATTGTATTTACTATGATAATAAATAAATTAAAAAAAAAAAAAACTTAGTAAATGTTCCTCCGGATCGGTAGTATCAATGGGCGTTCCTCAGGGCTCGATTCTTGGCCCATTCCTGTTCTTAATCTATATTAATGACTTACCTTATCTTGTAGGGGACAATCACGATATAGTATTATTTGCTGACGATACCTCTTTAATTTTCAAACTGAAACGGCAGTCAATTAAATATGACGATGTAAATAATGCTCTATCGAAATTAGTACATTGGTTTAACGCCAACAATTTGCTCTTTAACGGCAATAAGACAAAATGTATTAAATTTACAATACCTAATGTAAAACATTCGAAAACCAATGTGCTCTTAAATGGGGAGGAGTCGAGTCTTGTGGATACCACTGTTTTTCTCGGTATTACTATTGACGCGAAACTTCAATGGGGCCCCCATATATCTAAATTAGCAAGCAGACTTAGTTCTGCAGCATATGCTGTAAGAAAGATTAGAAGTCTCACAGATGTTGAGACAGCTAGGTTAGTGTATTTTAGTTACTTTCATAGCGTAATGTCTTATGGAATTTTGCTATGGGGTAATGCGACTGATATTGAAGCTATATTTGTTTTGCAAAAGAGAGCCGTACGGGCGATTTATAATCTAAATTGTAAAGAGTCCCTTAGAGAAAAATTTAAAGAAATAAATATATTAACTTTGGCATCGCAATATATTTATGAAAATGTAATGTATGTACATAAAAACATAAATAGCTTTAATAAGAATAAGGATGTTCATACCTTAAACACTAGGAACAAACATAAGCTTGTAATGCCACTTACAAGACTCCACAGAATTAGTAATTCATTTATGGGGCAATGTATACGCTTTTACAACAGAATCCCAGAACAT